ATCATCTCATCATAGAATCATAAACCAATCTCATAATCCATATTCCGTTCCAGTCGTCAGCCAATTGTTATAGCATTTAGTTAAACGCCTTCTCGAATAGCCATGTTTTTAGACTCTTATGAAATGACATAAGGGAGGGCGCCTGCCTGATGTCAACAGAGAGGGTGCTCCATAGCTGGGGGGCCACCACTGAGAAGGCCCTATCTCTCGTCCCTGCAAGACGTGCCTGTGAGGCAGGCGGGATCGAGAGAAGGGCCTCCCCAGATGATCTCAAGGCCCTCGTGGGCTCATAGGCCGAGATGCGGTCAGAAAGGTATTTTGGGCCGGAACCGTTTAGGGCTTTGTAGGCCAACACCAGCACCTTAAATTGGGCCCGGTAGCAAATCGGCAGCCAGTGGAGCTGGAACAACAGGGGCATTGTGTGCTCCCTGCGTCCTGCTCCTGTTAGTAGCATGGCAGCCGCTCGCTGGACTAGCTGAAGCTTCCGGGCCGTCTTCAAGGGCAGCCCCACGTAGAGAGCGTTGCAGTAGTCAAGTCGGGATGTGATCAGAGCGTGTACCACCGTGGCCAAGTCAGACATCCCGACGTGACCAGAGCGTGTACCACCGTGGCCAAGTCAGACTTCCCGAGGTACGGGCGCAGCTGGCGCACGAGCTGAAGCTGTGCGAATGCTCCTCTGGTCACCGCTGAAACCTGGGGATCCAGGCTCAACGATGAATCCAGGATCACACCCAAGCTGCGAACCTGCGCCTTTAAGGGGAGTGCGACCCCATCCAGCACAGGCTGTAACCCTATGCCCCGTTCGGCCTTACACTGTCTTGTCTGGATTTAATTTCAGTTTGTTCGCCCTCATCCAGACCATTACAGTGGCCAGGCACCGGTTCAGGACCTCGACAGCCTCCTTAGTAGCAGGTGGAAAGGAGTGACAGAGTTGGACATCATCTGCGTACAGATGACACCGCACCCCGAAACTCCGGATGATCTCACCCAGCGGCTTCATGTAGCTGTTAAACAGCATGGGGGACTGAGGAACCCCACAAGTCAAAGGCTGTGGCGTTGAACAGGTGTCCCCCAATAACACCTTCTGGGTGCGGCCCTCCAGAAATGACCGGAGCCACTGTAGAACAGTGCCCCCGAGGCCCATTTCCGCAAGGCGCCCCAGAAGGATACCGTGGTCGACGGTATCGAAGGCCGCTGAGAGGTCCAGGAGCACCAACAGGGACACACTCCCCCTGTCTAGCTCCCGGCGCAGATCATCCACTAAGGCGACCAAGACCGTCTCAGTTCCATGTCCCGGTCTGAAACCAGACTGTGCAGAATCCAGATAATCCGTGTCTTTCAAGAATACCTGGAGTTGTGAGGCCACCACGCTTTCCATGACTTTGCCCAAAAAGGGGAGGTTGGAAACAGGCCGAAAGTTGTCAAATTTAGTGGGGTCTAATGATGGTTTCTTCAACAGCGGTTTTATAATAGCTTGTTTTAAGCTCGCTGGAATCTTGCCTTCCCGGAGGGAGGCATTAACCACCACCGTTACCCACTCAGCCAATCCCCCTCTGGCCTCCTTCAGAAGCCAGGATGGGCAGGGGTCTAGGATGGACGTGGTGGGCCGCATTCCTCCAAGTATCTTGTCCACATCCTCGGGCTTCACAAACTGAAAAGAATCCATCAAAATAGGACAAGCAGGTGCTCGTGTCACATCCTCAGAGACTGCATTTAACATGGTGTCCAGCCCAGAACGGATCAAGGCGACTTTGTCTGCAAAGAACCGAGCAAATGCTTCGCAGCGCGTGACCGAATTGTCAGGACTCCCGCCTGAGGTGGCGGGGAGTTAAAAGACCTCTGACAATCCGAAACAACTCCGCCGGACGGTTCTTTGCAGACGCAATAGTAGCCGCAAAGAAAGATTTCTTTGCGGCTTTTATTGCCGCGGCATATGCCCTTAAAAAGGACACAAACCGTGTTCGATTTGGCTCGCTCGGATCCGAACGCCACACGCTCTCTAGTTCCCTCTTCCTTCGCTTCATCGCTGCCAGCTCCTCAGTGAACCAAGGGGCTGGTTTAGCTCGGCTACTTGAGAGGGGACGTTCCGGAGCGATCATGTCAATTGCCCTGGTCATCTCCCCATTCCAGAGAGCGACCAAGGCCTCGACATGGTCACCTACCGAGGTGGCGGGAAAATCCCCAAGAGCCGTCAGGAATCCATTCGGATCCATAAGCCTCCTGGGGCGGACCATCTTAATGGGTCCTCCACCTTTGCAGAGGTTAGGGGGCGCAGTGAGCCTAAATCTGATCAGGAAGTGGTCGGTCCATGGCAACGGAGAGATGGACAACTCCTCCACACCGCCACCCTGTTCCCATCCCTGACAGAAAACCAAATCCAATGTGTGTCCAGCACAGTGGGTGGGGCCAGATATTTGTTGGGACAGCCCCATGGTTGCCATGGCAGACATGAAGTCCTGAGCCGCGCCTGTGAGGGTCGTCTCGGCATGGACGTTGAAGTCTCCCAGCACAAGAAGCCGTTGAGACTTCAACGCCAGGCTCGAGACCACCCCCGCTAGCTCAGGTAGGGAGACTGTAGCGCAGCGAGGTGGACGGTACACTACAAGAATCCCTATACTGTCCCGGTCACCCACCCTCAGGTAGACGCTTTCGAAATTTGCAGTCACCCTCAGGTGACACATTCAAAAATTTGTGTATGGAGTCTGCAGGGATGCGCGAATCTACTGCCCTGGTCAGATGGATGGAATCTCTATAGACCACTGCGACCCCGCCTCCCCGTCCTCCGGATCTCGGTTGGTGCTGTACGGAGAAACCTGGAGGACAAAGCTGGGTGAGATTCACGCCTCCAGCTTCATCCAACCAGGTCTCCGTAATGCACGCCAGATCTGCCCGCTCATCCAGGATTAGATCCTGGATATAGGTCGTTTTTCCATTGACAGATCTGGCGTTCAACAGCACCACCTTCAATCCGGAGGGCCCGCCAACCTGGTTACACCAAATTACCTTAGGAGACCGGTTTGGGGTTATTAATGTAGATAAGCGGTCCGAATTAGGCCGAATTTGAGGTCTCCTTTTTTTTTTCATAGGTCTCTACTGGTGCCATCTTGCACATGTTATGGAAATAAGTTTGCTTCTCTTCTTATAGTCTCTCTGTAAATGTAACAGTGAACCAGTGTATCCCAACTTTCAGGTAATCTGCCATGGAATTCCTTGTTTAGTACCCTTGGGGATGGGTGGGTGGGAGGCACATCCAGAAGGCATGAGGGATGAGAATTAAAGAGGACTGATATATAACATTGGCACAGATACTTGTTTATGACAGATGAAAACACGAATGGAGACACCAGCAAGAGCATTAGCCCAAGGGAGCTGTCCACTCCAGACTTGACATAGTCTCTGTTATATGTTGTTTGGTCTCTTGTGTGTATGTGGGGAGGGCGGTGGGGGGGGGGGGTTCATGAGTGGATGTCTGCAAATTGCTCTTACATTGTAGTGAAAACATACTTCTCCCCTCCCACTTTGTTTTTTTGGATCAGCACAACTCTGCCTGGTCTATGTAGTATGGAAAAAATCCTGGGTTAATTTGCAGTGAAATTAAAGTCATGGAGGAGAAGACATTTTACTAATGTCAAGGGACGTGCAGGCGGCAATTGGAAAAAATGTCTCCTCAAGAAAGGCAGCAGGAACATGACTAACCCTAGTCTGTGGAATTTGAATTACTTAAAAAGGCATTGGAGTGATAATTCTTAGATAAATGTAGATTTGGAAACACATTTAAAACTAGAGTCTACTGAATAGTTTTAGACTGTTGAGTAAGTTTCTGCTCTAATATTTTTTTCTGTGAATCACATTTTGTTTGTATACTCATTAGTATGTCTTGTACTTTTTCATTGTACCACTTCAAGAACTCATAGTGAAGTGGTGGTTTGTATATGTACAAAACACATATATGTACAAATCACACTCCACAAATGCAATCTTTACATACACTCAAAATGCAGTTTGTTTTAATGTAGTTACCTCATGCAGTCAGCTATCAATTGGCAAGTATCAAGGAATCATATCCTTAAAGAGAAGTAAGGTGGGGTCTGCTGCTGCTAGTTTCTTGCCTGAGAGATAAATTGGGGGGGAGGGGGCAGGTATGAAATCAAGTCTGAGAATATCAATCTACTGCTGATGAAGAACCATAGTAAAAGATATAAAGAAGGATTTCAACAGAGAACTAGTGAACCTCTGCCTCTGTTTCCCTACAGAGGCATATAGTTCTTTGTGCAATCATGATTGGACATTTCTCTATTTCCAGATTCTCCATCCTATGCAAGATAACAGGTAATGTTGGGACATAGCTATCTCCCCAAATATGGCTACCAAGATACTTGGGAAACTATCCATTTTCTTTTCTGCCCAGAACTTGCTAACTCTAAAATCCAAAAGCAGGGAGATGTCTGTCAGGCCTAAAAATGTGCATGCCTTGGGGGCAGTGGGGTGGTATTTAACTTGGTGAGATACAACCAGATTGTGTAGGCTCAGATAAATAATATTTACTATAGACTGTTGTTGTTAGAAATTAATTTGCTCTAGCCCTCAGAACTTTTGTGTGATGTATTTTTTTATCCAACCAACCATCACTTTGCTCCATGGAGGTGTGTTATGCTAGATCAGTGCTCTCAGATAATATCTAGTTTTGAACAGTGTCACATATAAGCCTGAAATGCCTTGCTAAGAAGCTGTGGTATAGAAAAAATACGGTTGGTCCACCAAGTATGCTGTTAGCTGTTCTGAACAGCAACTAGCTGCACACATTGATAAGCAGATTTTTTTTTTCAGATTAGCTCTGAGGAAAGATCTTTTTAAAGTATAAATATCAGGGATTGAACCTGGGACCTCATGCATGTTCTGCCTTTAGACTGTGCACCTATGAAAAGAACCATATAAATGCTAAGCATTCATCTTCTTTGATGTTTCTAACTTCACCATTCTTCCTCTCACACTCTCCACAGGGCATACATGAGTGTGAAAGAGCTGAAGGAGGCACTGCAGCTAAACAGCACTCACTTCCTCAATGTTTACTTTGCCAGCTCTGTGCAGGAGGAGCTGGCAGGTGCTGGCACCTGGCCATGGGACAAAGATGCCCTCAGCCACCTGGGTAAGTGAGTCTGGATATAATCTTGATTGGGGCAAACCTCTCTAGCTGGTCAGCTAATTTCATCCATGAAACTGATGATAGATAGTAAGTTTTCTTTTCAGTTCAAAAGGTGATAATTCTTCTGGTTGGTTTTACATGATTGTATCCCTCCTCCACCTCTTCTGCAGATACAGATTCATGTACATAGATACTTATGTAGAGACTGAGTAACAGTACGGAGATCAATTTTCAGTGCCCTGTAATTTCTGAGGAAAGTATGTCTATTCACAAGGAAGTCATATTGACTACTGCAGGGCTAATGCTGGAGGTTGAGTATGGAAAAGGCATGATTTTCATATGATCAGAGGTACTCCCAGGTATTTAATATAATGACTGAAGCTGTCATTTTTTTTATTCCACGAGGAAGTAAAAGAAATCTGTTAGCAGTGTTTGTTGGCAGCTTGTAGGGGACTTATTTGGCAAGAATCGCCAACTGTTGTTCTGTGGGATGTTGAATTCCCCCAGCACCAACAACATTTTGCATGGCTTTTGGATATTTTATGAAATGTTGATGAAAAGCTTGATCAAATATATGCCCAGGTTTTTGTTTTAAGTATGAGAGAGGGGGAGGCACTTCACCCTTAATTTAACAAAGAACTATTGGAGAAATGCCAATTTCTGTCCCTTTATGATCAATAGAGTCAGTCTTTTATTCAAATAAACTGTAATAATAATAATTTTTTTGTGTTGGCACATAAGCGTATCTATTTCAAAGCTATGATTGGTCACTCATTAAGTAGGAATATCCATCCGCAGTGTTTTGTCTTTTTTCCCCATTCTCCAAAAATCGGTTAGATTGTTAATTTGGGTTAACTCTCTTGTTGGAATAGCATTACTAGTTGCTGGTCTGTTACTGGTCACAATTCAAAGTGCTAATAAAGGATGGATCTCCCTTTCAGAAATGACTTGAAGGCATATGATTTCCATTTATAGGCTCATTGGAATTCTGAGACCTTTTGGAGAGGTTCTTCTCTCTGTCCCACAGCCTTCTCAAGGGTTCCTTTGCTGGGAAGGAAGGGAGAACCTTCTCACTGGATGCTCCCAGACTTTGGAACTCCCTCCCTAAGAGGCCAGAAGGGTCCTTCTTTGCTCTCCTAATAGCTGTCATGCTTTTAGAAACGATCCTGTTTTTATGATTTCTGTATTGTGCATTACAAATGTAATGTTTTAAATTTAAATAGTTTTTAAATAATTTTTGTATTTATATATATTAAAGGTTTTTGTATAGTTTTGAACCTGTATGTATGTAATCAGCCACCTTGAGTCTCATTACTGGAAGAAAGGAAGCATATTAATTCTAACCATCACTGTTTTTGCCTCCCCCCCCCCCTTTTTTAAATATTCTGTTTTCCCTGGCTGTGATGTTTTATTTGAATATTACATTTCCCAAATTATTGATGGCTTGTAATCCAAACAGCTTTCCTACCTCTTTCTTAGAGGTATCAGTTTGTGTGGCAGAATATACCTCTGAATTCTAGCTTAATGTGGAGGAAATAACTCCTGAAAAAATTGTTTGCTTGTGTGTTTAAGATATTTATATATTTAAATCCCTGTTTCACCTTAGAATTGTTCAGTGCTGTACTGACTTTGGGCCTCCCTGACTGATGAACAATATATCTATAGCACCCTCTGCTGTCCCAACCGGTCAAGTGCTTCACATCTTTGGCCTTATCTCCTTCTCTGCCAATTTTTTGGTCAGTCAACAGTCTGTCAAATAAGTATAAATATCTTCATCTACCCTCATCTCCTCTCCATTCCCATCAGTGAGAATATCTTTGTTAGGTGACCCAGTTGAGAATAATTTGGTTCATGAGGCAACTCACATTGAGGTAGCTCATTATTGCAGTCATCAGAATTGACCTTTCTACTTTGGCTAGATCCAAAAGCTTAGAAGATCAATTTGTCTTGATGTGGTGAAATGCTGCCCAAGGATTTGTAACCTGCTGAGCTTTTTATGAAAGTTTTAAGTTCCTATGTGGTAATATTGTTTTCCTTTATTATGTTCTTGGAGTTGTGCCCAAGTGTTGGCCTTTGAGAAGTTAGGATTATTAGTTTGTTCAGACGCCTTTGTGAAGTCACTCCACTCTTCTTAACTTTTACATCTGAAGTGAAGGTCCTGCCCTGTATGACGCCACTTGCGGGTTACTTAAGAGATTTGGGTGAAAACTGATAGGTGAAAAGGCAGAAGGATCTCTGTGTAGGCCCAATGGGAGCAGTAAGACATTGGGACCTGAACATGGGTGCTTTCCAACACTTGAGGCTTTAAAATTGACTTTTCTGTTTTCCAAGAGATCTTGGTTTGGGTTAAACAATTTGAACCATTTGCTCAAACATTATGAAGGATCTTGGAAGGAAAGGAGGCTACTTTCCCTCCATCAGATGCACTTTGTATGTCTTTGTTTGTTTTTAAAATAGGCCAGCAGTCTCAGAGAAAAAGAGGACTGGATGCCCAATTGCCAAGATACTTCTCAGCAGTGGCTTTTTCTATCACATTTTCTCCAATAGGAAAGGTTTCATGTTTCTCCTAAGATGGGAAGATGGGAAGTGTAGGTCTTGAGGCCCCTTGTGCCCTCAGCAATCAGTCTCACTTCGCTGGTTGTTGTTAGTGGTTGACACACTGGGATTATGACTTTGCTGTAACATCCCATTAACTTAGCTATTAGCAGGGTTTTCTTTCTTCACTCACTTGCATTCCTCCCCTTTGCTTTCAGCAAGGGAGTCTGCTACTTCAGACTGGGGTTTGGCTAAGGAATCAGGCTTAGGTTCCATTTCCTTGCCTTAAATTTGGCTTTTTGGTTAGAGAATTCCCCATTTAGAATCTTGCATGTAAAATGAAGATCATAGCCTTTAAGGGGAAAATAGCCTGGTCATTTTGAACTGTTGAAAATTTTTAGTTTAAATATGATTAAATATTATGAAATAATTGTGGTTTACAAAAAATGCCAAGGATATCTCTGGTAGGCATTTGTAGGAAAAACAAAACAATTTAATGCCAGAAACTTTCAGAAGTGAAACGTACTTCCTTAAGGGTAAAGGCAATTGTATCTGTCCATTTTTGTAGCCACCTTTTATGCCGTAAAAGTGTGTGGAGCATTTTTGTTTTCTTTGCGAGTGTTTTGATTTCTAGCCCACTAGAGCAGATTCTTTCCATTATTTTGCCAATATGCTCATTGCAAGATCTGGGATTATTTCCTTCCATAATGCCCTCATGGAAGTATATTGTGCCTTATTTAGTGTTCTTTTTAAAGGGAACATAGGTTTACCAACTGTGGCATGTTTTACCACAATGGAAAACAAGTTTCAAAAGATTTAATGGGGGAGATATGCCTGTTCTGTTCTGAAATAGAAAGCTAATTGTCCCACTTCTGATAGTTAAATAACAACATTTCTTCACATTTCATCCTTGAAATGAGCGGTGGTTAATGTGCCTTTGTAAGAAGAAGGTGTTGAATCCACCCCAGGCTTGGAAAAACTTCAAGAAGCAATCCAGTATACTGATTGTATTTTCACTATCTTGGATCAGTTGGATAGTGTTTAGTGCTATTTAACTTGTGAATTAAACCGTAGAGTATGTTCACTGCTCTATTAACATGGCAGCCCCAACCACCAGTTTTTCTTTTTGTCATGTCAGGAGCGACTTGAGAAACTGCAAGTCACTTCTGGTGTGAGAGAATTGGCCATCTGCAAGGACGTTGCCCAGGGGACACCCAGATGATTTGATGTTTTTATCATCCTTGTGGGAGGCTTCTCTCATGTCCCCGCATGAGGAGCTGGAGCTCTACTGAAGCAGCTCCACTGGCTGCTGATAAGTTTCCAGGCCCAATTCAAAGTGCAGATTGTTACCTATAAAGCCCTAAATGGTTTGGGTCCTGCTTATCCTTGTGACTGTATCTCCCTCCATGAACTGGATTGAGCGTTAAGATCTACCGGGGAGGCCTTTCTCTCACTCCTACCTCTGTCACAAGCATGGTTGGTGGGGATGAGAGAGAGGACCTTCTTGGTGATGATTCCCCCAGCTCTGGAACTCTCTTCCCAGGGAGATTAGATTAAGCCTCCATCCTGTCCACCTTCTGGAAAGACTTGAAGACTTTGATGTTTCAATATGCCTTTGAATAATGGTTCAGCTACTCATGCCTAGCCCTCATCTTTTGGTAGGATCTTCAGTATTTTATTCCCAGCCCCGGCCTTACAGTTTGCATTTTCACTAGCCCTTGTCCTGCCCTATTAATCTGCACATGCCCAATTTTCTCGGCAGTTGGTTGTTTGTTGCTTGTTTTATGTTTTATGATGTCTTACATTTTATTGGTTTTATTGTTTTAATATAGTTGACTGTTATATGTTTTTAATTGTGTTACTTTGTAATCTGTGTTTATATTGGGCTTGGTTCCCGATATAAGCCGCCCCAAGTTCTTTCAGGAGATGGAAGTGGGATAAAAGAATAAAGTTATTTATTTATTTATTATCAACACAGATAATCCACATTATGTAATTTGAACTGGATTATATCAGTCTAAACTGCCATATGATCCAGTTCAAAGCAATATACTCTGGATTTTATATGGCTGTTAGCTGAGAAATACTCCAACTTTGTATGCAGATATACCGTAGTTACCTCAGGCCAGCATGGTATTCGTGCATTGAGCTGGTAGCAGGTAGAAATCCCCAGAAGTAGGGGAGCTTTCTTGGATAGCCTATCTTGCACATGGTGTGAGACCCAACTAGATAAGCAGATTTAAATGGACCTTGTTCCAAAGTGAGTTATTTTCCTCACCTGTTGATTTGCTCAGGTCCTCTTCTAGAAAGAGACACTTTCAAGGGAGTATCCAGTCATGGGAGCATACAAAATGTGCATGCTCCCGTGTTTTTACCTGGGGCACCAAAATGACACCTCAGGTAAAAGCGAATTAATTTGGCACAAAGTAGGAAAACCCTGCTTTGTTTCAAATTAATTTGACACATGGAAAGACTATGGTTTTTCAGAAGATCCTGGTCATTCCATCTGTGGGCCCTGTGTGAATTGGGCCCAGAAATTATTGTGCGCAATTTCTGATCCCAATCCACACAGCTATCTTGGGATTTCTGGGTTCCCAGAGCCTGGAAAACCCAAGACAGCTCCCACCCCTACCCAAAACCCTTTTAAAAGCCTTAAAAACTAAAAATTACTTACCTGGCTGCCGTTACTCTGCTGCTGGCCTTCTACTGGTGCATAGAAATGGCGAGCCAGGAGAAGGGTGGGCCAGAAGCGTTTTTCCTCCTGCCCTGTGTCATTTCTATGTGCTAGGAAAAAAACTGGCAGCAGAGTAATGGTGGCCAAGTAGTAATTTTTAGTTTTTAAGGCTTTTCTGGGGGAGGGGGGTGCCCTTGCTGTCCGGCTGCTGGACTATCTGGACACCCTCCCCAGGAAAGTGCATGTTTTCTGCTGGTGTGGGGACAGAAGTCCAGCTTGACCAGATTTTTTAAACCTGGGTCAGACCAAACCTTTCCCCCGTGTGGAACCAGCCCAAGAAATAGTTACCTTTGCAAAAGTTTGTATTGATTAGAATTCCAGACATCCTCCCAATATCTTCTGAATGGCATTGAATGTATCTGCAATTACAGGTGGCGTGGTTCTCAATCCAGTTTACTATGGTGTGCCAGGTCATACAAATACTTTGATCCATGAAGTAGGACATGTACTGGGACTCTACCATGTTTTCAAGGGGGTGGATGAAAAGGATTCCTGTGATGACCCATGTCAAGAAACAACACCATCTATGGAGACTGGAGATCTTTGTGCTGACACGGCACCTACGCCGAAAAGCAAACTCTGTCGGGATCCAGATCTCAACAATGACATATGTGGTCGAACCCACTTTTCTGGAACACCCTTCAAGAATTACATGAGCTACACAGGTAATAAATATGTTTAATATGTTTCGGACTTGGCAACATTTGGCATGTAAACCCTCATTTGCTGAGAATCTCTCCATAGACACAGTAGTCTCTACCTGTCTCTAATTTCTGTGACAGATTTAGAGAAAACCATAAAGACAATTTTTTGGACGTTCTCATTAGCCTGATGACCCAATATTTATTATGTTTTCAGGTTTCATAAATTCTAAATGCTAAAAAATTCTAAGGAACCAAATAATAATTTTAATCATTTGGGGCTATAGGTATCAGGGGTTTTGGTCACCTTGCCAGGCATAAAGCCTCGGCTGGAGAAAGAGCTTATTTCTAGCATGGCCCTTGGTCTGGCATTAAATATACAAACTGCATTCTCCAAATCTCTCAATCCACAGTAAAAATCACCTAGTTGTGAAACTACTTCGGCCAATTATTTTGCTAGGATTGGAGATCAAAATTGTAATGGAAAAGCCTAAAAGGAAATAAAAGGAAAGGCTGCCAGGTAAAGCGGGAAACACCATTGGGAAAATTCTCTATTTTTTGCTCACCAGCCAGAACTTTGCTGCTGATGGGATGTAGAGAAAGGACTACATAAAGATTTGCCAGGCCCAGAAACCTTCACAATTGTTTGTTATGGAAATTGTATCTCCAGTACAGGAGGTATATGAATTTTATCCCGGGTTGAGGGGGGTGGGGGGGCAGCATTTAATGTTTGACCAAGATAGCAGTATTTATGCTGTAGAAATAGAATTTTAGTACACCGAGGAAGAATCTTTGAAGCTTTAAGGCATGGCAGAGGGTTGAACTGGATGGTGTTTATGGTCTCTTCCAATTTTATTATTCTCTGATTTGGTTCAGGGGACCAAAGTGGACTGTTTTGCTCTGTGGAGTTCTGTGCCCTACCTTGTAGAATGCCAATCCAACTACTTCCATTGATAGGACTGTGCATTTATCCCTCATAATTGGAGGCAGGACTGTGTCTTTCTCCAATTTTCCTTACCAACTCTACTTCTCAGTCTTTAAAGGCAGTCAGACATAGAAAGTTAACACCTCCGTTTTTTTCTCACCTGCATTCAGTGCTTGAAAATCTTATTTAAAAGTTAAAATGGTTGTGTTCCTTTTTTAAAATAGGCGTTTTTGTCAAAATTCTTAAAGAAGTTACTAATGTGGCTACATTTGTTCTACTAAATAAAATCACTAAGTTTTTACCAAATGCTCAAGAATTCCTCCTAATGAGGAATCTTACATATAGGTTCTCACGGTAAGTTCATGAGGAGAAAGAATTATTTGTGTTTATTGTCTCTTGTCAAAGTCATAGGAACAAAGCTAATAAAAAGAAAAATGGAATTCTAGTTTGATCAGATATCTTAATAAATTACTCATTTACTTTGCTATATACTTCAGACTGACATAGTGATAAAACAAAGGGGAAACCCTTCATAATGAAGAGGATGGAACAAATGTGTTTTAGGCGAAGCTGTTGCTTTGACATCACATTTAAGGAGACTGTTGTAATCCTAATTTCACAAAGTCTGTATCTGGGCACAATTCCAGGTATATGAAGTTCCCATGAACAAAACTAAACCATTACTCAGAAGTTCAAGAGAATCTGAGCAACCATCCAACCCATCAACTTAGTTGGAAACTTTGGCTCTGAGCCTCAGATCAGTGTTATGTAGATTCAGAATTGGAGTTTAGTGGAGGCTTCCTGACTTTGGAACACCATAATTAGTCAGCTGAAACAAAACTGGTATCTTTTTGTACATAGTTATATAGATATAGAACCTTCAGCTTCCATGGCTCTTTACTGAAATCATTGAACACTAACAAAATATATAGATATATGTTCCACAGGAATTTATAATCCTAGTTGTAAACATAAGCAAGACTCATGAAGAGATGCCAATGCAGTTACACATATTTCTACTAAACTGCTTGGTTATATTCGGTCAGATTGCCAAGGGGATATCAAACATGTAGCTTGATCTCTTTATATGCCAGAGCTAAGCAGAATAATCTCATGGACCATATGTAGATCTAAGCCTTTTCTTGTGCTTTCTCTCCTCAAATGGATCACTTAAAAAAAACAACCCTAAATTCATGGTTTGCTGCTGAAATTTTTTGGCAGATTACTAACTATGCTGTAGTTACTGGGGAAAGGAATTAAATACACTGCAGTCAGTTTAGTAACAGTTGTCAGTGTTATAGTGACTAGTGCATCAATACCAACTGAAATACATTAAAGATTCATTTATATATTAATAGGAATTTGATAATAAATCAAATAGGAATGAGAGAAATGTATTTGTTATAATGGATGTTTTTAAATGGTTTAATAATATTGAGTGAAGAATTCTGTGTACCCAATTCTTATAAATGCTTATATATTTTTGAAAAATCAACTCCACCTCAAATAAGAAACAGAAATAACAAAGAAGTGTTGGCCTTTTATATTTTGCTAACCCGACAAATGTTCCCCAGCCTTGTGGTAAGTGCCCATGTATAGTATTGAAATGTCTATAGTTCCTATGATTTTCACCAGTAACCTGATCTGTAGGAATCAATGATGAGGCTTTTCATATCAACCCTGACAGTTGTGTATAAAGATTAAAGGTGTATAGGGTATGAGGAAATGCATGATGGAAAAGGTGACTATTTTTTTGTAAAAGCAAACTCTGAAGGAACCTACAAGAGTTTATATACCTGCATGTTCATATTTGCAACTATAGATTATGTTGGATGTCAAAAGTCTGCATTTGAGTTGGCAGCTTCTCTCTAACTGGGGTGGTAGGCATTGCCTGATTGGCTCAGCTTTCTGGATCTCATGCATACAGCTTCCTCTGGCCTTCAGAGCTGAGTTGGCTCTGTCATGACAATATTGCTGTCTTTAGCCTTGTTTGATACAATTTGAGTGTTTTGTTAAGATATCAATTTAATTCTGTTTTTGCTTTCTTTTATCCACATTTTATCCACTTTTATCCATTTATTTCCAATATTTAACATCATAAAGGAAGTCAATACAGGCAGTCCACAAGTTACAAACATCCAACTTATAAACGATTCATAGTTAAGAATGAGGGTGAGAGAACAGGAAGTGAGAGAAATCTACCTCTAGGAAGGGACATTCACTCCTGAAAGAGTTATCAAGGGGAAAAGGTGTCTCCACTGACACTTTATCTCCAATCTTTGTTTTCACAACAATCCAATATTTTCAAAATCCTATAATCACAGGGACAGAAAATGAGGTGAAATCTTCCAAACAGGGGCACAGGCAAAGACCACATGGGTGTTCACCCTTCCCTATGTTATCCAAAGCTGACATACATATATTTTTGGTTGGAATTACACTTAAAATGTACCTGTTCTGATTTACGTACAAATTTAATGTAACAACAGAGCTACAGAACCTATCTTGTTTGTAACTTGGGGACTGGCTGTACTCCTGACCAATCATGAGGAAGCATTCTTATGGTAAGGTACAGAGGACCTGTGATTAAATGTCCCTAAAGGAGTGCCATCTTTTTGGCAGATGGGCAGAATAACATGGGCAGGACACGTGTCATCTCCTGTCGAAACCAAGAACATAACTAGCTGGAAAGGATTGAGATGAAAGTTTTTCCTGGGATGATATGAAACCTGGAAAGCAAATAACATGGGAAGAATTCCATAGTATTGCATATGTTGATCACAAGAGAATGTGATGCTAAAATCTTGCATAGATGTCAGAGGAAGAATGTCATTTATCTTTCATATTGCCTCTGTTTCTCCCGTAGATGATAACTGCACCAACAGCTTCACACCAAACCAAGTGGCCCGGATGCATTGCTATCTGGATTTGGTGTACCAGCAGTGGACTCAGGGCAGAAAGCCCACTCCTATCCCCATGCCTCCTGTGATTGCGGGCCAGAGTGAGAATACTCTCTCCATACATTGGCTGCCTCCCCTTAGTGGTATTGTCTATGAAAGGTAAGCCAGGAATATTGGGGCAAACTAGGAGAAGGTCAGTCTCAACTCACTGGGTGTGTGTGTGTGTATGAGAGATGGAGAGAGAGAGAGAGAGAGAGAGAGAGAGAGAGAGGATCTCCCTGAATCACCTGGCTTATTAGTGCAGCACCCCAAGATCTGGCAACCTGTAAACCACCCTCGCACACGTACAGAAACACAAACTCATGTTTTCACATGGCAGTTCCTTCCATTTGAGGTTGCATTTATCATTGTCTTGTAGCAAAATCATCTACATAGCCTGTCTTTATCTTCCTCCTGCTCACCATATTGGAAATCTTTAGTACTCCATTTTTGTTTGGCTAAAAAGGGAACTGTGGAGTTCTTATTCAGACAATCCAAATATTTTGGCTGGCCTTGGGAACACATTTTAAGACCATGAAGTGAAATATACATTTTAATATGTAAATAAACAATGTTCTTGTTGTCTAATTTTTTTTCCTTTTCAGATTTTCTCTGGCAGTGAGGGCAATAGGCCTATGGATGTAGAAGTTTATTTAGTCCTCAAATGTAAGGAGAAATGATTTAATTTCTGCATTATAATTTCTACCTCACTTTGGGAGAAAACAAATATAATGTGTGTATGTGTGTGTGTGTGTACACACACACACACACACATGTTTTTAAACCAGTATTCCCAAAATCTGTGCTGAAGTAAATATGGAGGGTTTTTTGAACAAAAATTGTGGAGTGTTGTACAAAACCCCATGTTTTTGGGTTTTGTTTTGTTTTTGTTTTTTGCAAAACAAAATCTTCACATTTTGTAAAGAACTTCTGGCTACTGTAAAAAAAAAAGCATTTTTGCACAAAAACAAACCTGTCTAATTAGAAAGGTGATGGAGGTGGGGGGAGGGAAGCAAACAGCACATTTTTGACAAAACCACTACTCCTTAGATAGCCACACATATGTTCTGCAAAATTCCTAGTTTTAGGCTGAAAATCCAACAATATTCCATGAAAAGCTCGCTTGCGTCTCTTGAAATAGTGTTTCAGGTGTTCAAAATTCTGATAATTTTGCCCCTTACCCACAGCCCCCAAAACAATTTCCAAAAATCCATTTTCTGGTAAGGAAATAATTTAATAATTTAATAATCCCATGTGAGTTTCTTAAAACAACGAGGGAGGGTTTTTGTTGTTTTTTTTGGTTTTTTTGCATAAAAACGTTTTTTTGAAGAAAACCACAATTTCCCCATGTAAACCATTTCCCAAAAACCCACATAGTTTTTTTCTTCATGTGAAAAAATGTTGGTATTTGTAAACAGGGGTCTTGGCATTAAAAAGTACCTTTTATATGAAGCAATGTAATTTCCACATGCATTTCATAGTATTATAAAATCATAGAATCCCAAAGTTGTTAGGATGCACAAATGCTATCTAGTCCAATGGCTTGTTGTACGGGAATACACAATTACAGACCTTTTTAAAAATACTTATCCAGCTTCCTGTTTAAGACCACCAAAGAAGGCAAACCTACAATCCTCCTAAGCAATCTTTTTTGCTGTTGAACAGGTCTTACAGCACAGAGGAATTTCCTTAAACACTAGGACAAGTGAGTCCCAGGCAGGCATGTAGCTGGGGGGGGGGGGGGCTTGGGGGGCTTCAGCCCCCCCCCCGAAATTCTCATGGTGGTCCGCGAGAAGGCCTTACTGGTGCATTATTTAAGCTGTTATGTTTATTCATATCATGATCTGATCACCATACTCAATATATGGGGGTATTGTCATAATGATACAAAAGGTTTGCTAGGGTAGACCCTCTTTCACTCAGACTCAGCCCCCCCCGAATCAAACTCAGCCCCCCCCCCCGAATCAAAATCCTGGCTACGGGCCTGGTCCCAGGCAAAAGTTGTAAAAAAAACCCTGTTACCTGTATGTTATTCTACCCGAGTGGGCTTCCCAAGTGTCAGGAAACACATCTTGCACAAATAGTGGCTAATATTATTTTCATCCCTATATGGACCAGTTGTTTCCTCTCCCTGGTTTTAGAAAACAAGACAGTTTCAAACTGTGGATTGCCAAAATGGCTTGTTTACTTAAACTGTAGTTAAGATTGGAGGACACCACATGAGCCATCCAATCCAACTCCATTATGCCATGCAGGAAAAGTACAACCCCCCCCACCCCCGACAGATGGCCATCCAGCCTCTCTTTTAAAGCCTCCAGAGAAGGAGCCTCCACCAGACTCCGAGGTGGAATCTCCTTTGCTGTAATTTGAACCCATTGTTCCATGTCCTAGTCTCCAGGGAAAACAAAAACCTTCTCCCTCTTCCTTATGACATCCTTTCAAAGAAGTCATAAGGAAGAGGGAGCATGGTGAGCTATCACGTCACCTCTAAATGCTAAATGACAGTTAATCTAAAACAGAAGTAGAAATATTTGATCTTTCAGTCATGCCATAAAAAACAAAAGGGTTGTGCATTTTTATTCTAGATTGAAAAACAAATAATTTGCTGCCCCTAAATGAAAACCACTCTTTGCTACCTGAGGCAATTTCATCATAACATACTGTGTCCAAATTGGTTCTCTATGTATATTTTTGTAATGTTGCAGCACAAACAAGACGTTCCCATATGCAAATATCTTGTTTAGAGCACCTACCAAGGGAGATGCAATATTTATATAGAGTTGCTTTGGACCATACTTTCTGTCTGTGTGTGGTGTTTCTTCTGCTACTCTCTTCTACTACTCACACATTATTTTTTCAGTGGGGAAAAGATGTTTATTTGAACATGCCACAGCTGGCTTGGAAAAGCTTTATTTGGCCTCCTACCCAGGAATTTCAGAAAATAGAGAAGGTGGTGAAGATGAGCTGGTGGTCCCTTCCAGCTGTTTACTAGTTGGCAAACTGTTCTCTTGGAGCCTTATGTTTTTGAATCAAGTTGAGGGACAGACACTTATTTGCACAGCTGTTGCAGAAGGATTTTGATCTTTCTGCAGAAGGTAACATTAGATATAAACCCATGTTAATGATGTTGTATACCATTCCGGATGAGGAAATCTTTGTTCACAAAAAGCTTTCACCACCTAAACTCTACAAATAGAACAAATACACCCACTCCCGATTTCGGTTCTTATGCTATAATTAGATACATTTTACATGATTGATGCTTTTTTTACTTCCCTGCCAATATTTTTTGAAATAGTTCTCTTTTCTGCCATCACTGGCTAGGGAGTTGCAGAACTCCCTAGTTCCTTATGTGTGTGAGCGGAAAAGGTAAGCGAATAGTATCTACTAGGCCTGTGCGGTTTCGTTCGTTAATTTCGTAATTCATTATTAATTCGTTAATTTTTGCATTTACGAAGCGATATCAAAACACATTTTCAAACCCGGAAGGGTTTAAAAATATCGAACCAGCAACCCCCATAGATTTAACGAGCTTCCGCTCGTTTCGTTAATGGGATGGAGGCTGCTGGTGCCTGGGAGCCAATCCGGCGCTCCCAAGCACCCAAGCAGTGCACCGTGGCTGTTTCTGATTGGCCGGCGAGCCTTTAAAAGCGGCTCCGCGCGGCCGTACAGCTCATTGCTGCAGAGGGCGAGGGAGAGAGAAGAGGTCCGGGAGGGTTTGCATTGGGTTGGCTTGCAACTGCTTGGATTGGATTCATTCCTTGCTCATTCCTTGCTTGGATTCATTCCTTGCTGCTTAGTGCTTATTATTCCTTGCTTGGATTCATTCCTTCCTTCGGTTTTTGTGAATTTGTTTGTTAATTTTCCATTTTTAAATATTTTTTAATATTTTCTAAAAATACCTGTCTTTTATTCTTAAAAAAAACCAAAAATATTCCAAAACAAGAAAAGACTCTTCTGTTGGTGTGTGCTCTCATTTGCCCTGTCTCGTGGCTGTGTTAGCACATCAGGGCCAGTTTTTGGTTAATTTTCCATTTCTGAATATTTTCTAAAAATACCTTTCTTTTATTCTTAAAAAAAAACAAAAAATATTCCAAAAAAGAAAAGACTCTTCTGTTGGTGTGTGCTCTCATTTGCTGTATCCTGCCTATGTTTGGTCCACATTTGGGCCATTTTTTGGTTAATTTTCCATTTTAAAATATTTTTTAATATTATTTTAATATTATTCTTAAAATACAAAAAATATTCTAAAAAAAGAAAATACTCTTCTGTTGGTGTGTGCTCTCACTTGCCCTGTCTCCTGCCTGTGTTAGCTCTACATCAGGGCCACTTTTTGTTTAAGTTTCCATTTTTGAATATTTTTAAAAAATACCTGTCTTTTATTCTTTAAAAAAATACAAAAAATATTCTAAAAAAAGAAAATACTCTTCTGTTGGTGTGTGCTCTCACTTGCCCTGTCTCCTGCCTGTGTTAGCTCTACATCAGGGCCACTTTTTGTTTAAGTTTCCATTTTTGAATATTTTTAAAAAATACCTGTCTTTTATTCTTAAAAAAATACAAAAAATATTCTAAAAAAGAAAAGACTCTTCTGTTGGTGTGTGCTCTCGTTTGCCCTGTCTCGTGGCTGTGTTTGCTTCATATCAGGGCCAGTTTTTGGTTAATTTTCCATTTCTGAATATTTTTTAAAATACCTGTCTTTTATTCTTAAAAAAATACAAAAAATATTCTAAAAAAGAAAAGACTCTTCTGTTGGTGTGTGCTCTCGTTTGCCCTGTCTCGTCGCTGTGTTTGGTCCACATCAGGGCCAGTTTTTGGTTAATTTTCCATTTCTGAATATTTTTAAAAATACCTGTCTTTTATTCTTAAAAAAATACAAAAAATATTCTAAAAAAATAAAAGACTCTACAGTGCTTGCTCATCATTTGTGTAGTTCCAACCAGTGCGCTCCTTTTGCCAATACAAAGTGCTACATACATACACTGCTCGCTCATCATTTGTGTAGCTCCAACCAGTGCGCACTGCGCTCCTTTTGCCAACCCAAAATATTTAATAACGAAGTTATTAATAACGAAGTTATTAATAACGAAGTTTTAATAACGAAGTTTCGGGAGTCGCGTTTGCGCATGCGCAAACGCGCCCGTCGCTTTAACGAATCGATTCGTTATCACCTTAACGAATCGACCCTTGCCAATAACGAAGCTTCGGAAGTGTTTTTGCGCATGCGCGGGGGTCCGCCATCTTAACGAATTGATTCGTTAATATTTACGAAATTTTCGTAAATATTAACAGATTGTAGGGGGAAAGTTTTGTAATTATTTTAAATATCGAAACAAAAAAACACCCCAATTACAAATCGATTTTAGAACCAAATTTTTTCTTGATCAACCAGGCCTAGTATCTACCTCTCATCATATGTGCTAGACCTTGTGAATCTTGACGTAGAGATGGAAGTAACTTGTAGCTAACTACTACTATATTTTTAAAGGGTGGAATAATGGTGCACCCAAAAGGTAATGAAACAAGTAAACATAGAACTGTTTGTAATAAGTTGTTGTTGTTGTTAGTAGTAGTAGTAATATTTCTATCCCATTTTCTCTCTCAAGGAGATTCAAAGTGACTAAAATTAAAATTGCACAATGAATAAACTGATACCTAAAATAAATAAAGATTAAAATAGAATTTAAAAGGGGACTTATTAAAATACATAACCAATGAAATCATTAAAATTCTGTTAAACAACATAAAACACAGCCCATCTTGGTTTGGTCTTAAAAACTTTCCTCTCCAAAAGCCTGCTCAAAGAAAAAGGTTTTAGCCTGCCACCAGAAGAACAGCAGGAGGGGTCCATTCTAGTTTCTCTGGGCAGGGAATTCTAGAGTTGAGGAGAAGAAAGTCATCTCTCTCATTCCCAACAACTGTGCGTAAGATGTTGGTGGGGCTCAGAGGAGGGCTTCTCCTGTGGATCTCGGGATGCGGGCAGGTTCATGCAGGGAGTTAGATTCTGCCAAATAGCCTGAAACCAGACCATTATGATTTCTAGTTATTTTCAAGAAGTTTTTTTCGAAAGTGTATATCCAGGTGTATTTTGGCAGGAATTTTTCAAGTTATAAGCTTCTATCTTACCATTATTAGTTAGTAAAACAAATAACCCACTTTAGCAAGCTGCTTTTCTAATAACTAATGGGAGCAAATTTTCCAAGCTCTGTTCTGAATTGAAGAAGTGAAACAATGGCATTGTCAAATAGGGTTGGTCTGCAGGTCACTCCACATTTTTATTAATGGGTCGAATACTTTAGCTATATGATTATTGGGATTCCTGGCATATCAGCTGTCATTCAATATCTTTCTTTCTAAAGGAACTTCATTGCTAGCAACAAAAATGATTCAATTACAAAATATTTTTCTGTATGTCAAGATGGGAAGGTATCCCTATGTTACAGTACCTACAGAAAGACTAATATGTCAATTGTTCCCAGAATCATAAATCACACCCATGTCCTTGTAACCCAGTGAGAAAAGGTCTTTCCTCCCTTCCCAAGAACTTGGATCAATAAAACTATTCTATTGTTTACTGGTGATACCCTTAGAGTTTCTGCCAGATGACCCCTGCACATACACTGCAACACATATCCCCATTTGTCACTCCAGTGACATAACAGCAAAAGGACACATACATTACAATCATGTAGCCCTATTTCCCACTTGTCATGACAATGATACAGCATTCTAGCAACAGATTACTGTCTCCTGTTCCTGTGGGTATCTTTACCTGATTCTTGCCACTGTATTGAATCACAGATTTGTTCAAGTGTGTAGTGTTTTACCTTTCTTGAAGAAGGAGGTAGGAACCTTTCTGTGCATGGGAGGGTCTCCTTGTGTAGAAGGGAGTGGCGGGGGGGGGGGGGGGAGCAGTAAGTCCTTCTGGATGTCTTGCAGGACTGCTTCCTCTTTCAGTAAAAGACCACCTCCTTAAATTTCAGTGAACCGTAACTCCATCTTGTCCCTGAATTTTAAGTTGCAATATGAGTATTGCGTCCACGCTGCCATCTCATTTCTGGTTTTTGGGATGGATGGAAAAAGAAGAGCTCACTAAACTTTTCTTCCCAGAAAAATAAACACATTTAACTGAAGAAGGTAACATGGCCAAGAAGTTCAGGTGTATTGCTGGGGTGTTCACAACAGTGCTCCTTCCTCACCCAGCTTTAAGGGTTGCTGTTGTTTTTGAAGATACTACTTTTGTTTTCATTTCTGTTCTGAACATAAAATTTCTCCTGGTTAAATTTCTGGTCTTTTCATTAGTCATTTCTGCTTTTGTAGTTTAAAAGAGGTAAATGTGCAATGTAAGAAAACTGTAATAGTTACACTAAAACTAGTTATGTAAACAAAGTCATTGATAGAAGGGAATGAGCAGAGTTTGTATCCCATCTGCCTTTTCTGTCTTTTAGAGAATCTGGGAATTTTTGTAGTGATTGTGATGAAGATGGAGCATTTAGCCAATATGTACATGAGGCCTCTTCCCCTCTCATCTGTGATTCTTCTGGCTATTGGACTCCAAAGGAAGCAATAGGTAAAGGCCCCAGCTCTTTAATACAGAGATTATAAATTGTGATCTGGTATCCCATCTATAAAGATACATGGTATATTTCATTTCCATCTTTTCAAATTGTACATTTGATCTTGCATGCGGTTTGACTTCAAAGACTGATTCATCACAGCATGGAAAGTTGTCTCTCCCAATCTGTTCAAATGCCTCCCTGTGCCACTTTTTTTCTCTAATACCTGACTTGCCAAGGTGGTCAAAGATCGGCAACCAGGTTACTTACTGGACTTAGCTATAGGGAACACACAATGCCCCTACTAAAGCAGCTCCATTGGCTGCCAATAAGTTCCCAGTCCCAAGTCAAAGTCCACGTTATTACCTATAAAGCCCTAAATAGGTCGGGCCCTATATATATAATGCTCAATGTCCAGCACAAAAAATTGGAACATTGGAATAATAATACATACATCTAGCTATTAAGAAACACTGTCAAAAGCAAAATTTAAAAAATTAGGAGATCTTGCATCTGATCAGTAATAGGTTTCCCTGAACACTACCTTTTGTTGTAAACATCAAAGGGAAGAAATTAAGCAGATTTCAGTAAAATTAAGAAAAAATACAAGAAAGTTCATCAATTACCGATGTGCTGATTCTGGAGGTCTTTCCGCAGCAACCATTGAGTGAAATGGTGGTTGCTTCCATCATGAAGACACCTGGGGTCAGGTCCCAGGAGACGTCACAACACAACTGATGGAATGCACACTGTTTTTATGATCACACTGAAAAACAGTGCCTCAGAATGGTTTTCAGTTATAAAAAACATGGTTAGAATCCTGTGTACAATTACTCTGTTTTTGAGACCTTTTGCAGATTGATTCCAATGGGTTGCTGACGAAAGGGGGAAAATGTCATTTGCTAGGACCCATTGGAAATTGCTTGTAAAGGAGCTCAGATGTGGAGAATAACACAAAGTAATAAAGTTCATTGTTTCTACAGAGTTTTAAAAAAAGATGCCTGGGATTGAATTTGCAATATTCTGCCCATAAAGCAGCATGTGTTCACCCAGAGCCTTTCTCAAGATCGGTGTGCACTCCAACAGAGTGGGACCAGAACTGCATTGTTCTGATGGTGTGGGGGCAGTAGAAATGTTTCTCTGCCAGGAATGTCGTACTGGGGAGAGAGGGGTGAAAGGGGAATGCATAGATTAGTGGGAGGACTTGTAAACAGCTTTGTCTTAGGGTTTGTGAGCTGCCTGACTGAACATAGTGACTTTCCCTTTCTCTTTTCCCTCCAGGGCCTCCAGATGTGAGCCAGCCTTGTGAGACCAGTCTGCAGGCCTGGAGCCCTGAATTCAATCTGTTCAATATGAGCATGACCACCCCTTGCCTCCAGCCACTTGGGTGTATTTTGGAATTACACTTCCTGCATCCAGTGTATGCAGACTCTGTAAGGATATGGACCACTAATTTCTCTGTAGACTCCAAGATGCTATCAGATATTGAGATCCTGACACAGCATGGGGACTCTGTACACCTGGGTCCCATGAACACATTCTGTGATATCCCACTCACAGTTAAACTGAATCTAAACAAGAAGGTATCTGGTATAAAGCTCTATACATTTGATGAGAAAATGGAGATAGATGCTGCTCAACTGATCTCCAAACCCTACAGTTCACTTTGTTCCAGCTGCAGACCTGTAAGGTACAGGGTTCTCCGGGATCCCCCATTTCTGGATGGATCCCCAGCAATAGTCACTCAACGAGGACGGAAGTTTGTTGACAAGTGAGTAAAGGGAGTAATCTGATGCCTTCAGGCCTCACAGATAGGTCTCTTGCCTCTTCTCTGAATTAGAGCTTAGAAAAGTTCTGTTGACTGCAACTCTTCAAATCCCTCATTGAATCTAAAAAGTAACTTTTCCAAGCACTAATCTCAAATTATCATTTTATATTTTATTTTTCTTTCATTTTATTTAGAAAGTAAAGCTTTAGATGTTTATTCTGTCAGGATTTTTTGCTGCTTCTGTTTGATTTGGGTTTTATTCCACATTCCTGATTATTGCTTATCACTAGCTTAGTCTCTGTTGAATGGAGAACAGTCTCCATCCAAAAATCACTGTGTTTTAAAGCACTGTAGACACATTACAAATGATACAAATGAAGTAGCTTTCTTTTTGGCCTTATGCTCCTTTGCAAGAGATACAAGCTTGGCCTGGATCAATTGAAGCTGTACTTGAGGAATCATCTGATTTTTCAGTTTCTCTGGAATCAGCATAGGCTGCAGATACAACTGCATGTGTTCTTTACTAATGTGTTTTTAAATCACACAATGAATTCTGATTGTGTGTTCTTTACTGTGTATTTAAATCGCACAACATATCCTGCACATTGTGCTTCCAATTTAATTTTTTATAAAATTCAGTTCTCCTTTTTTGTTTTTGTATTGCATTTGTATTGTATTTTTTATGGAATATTACTCAGTTTTGGGGAGAGTGGCAGAATCTAGTCTAATAGATTATTGGACTGAATGCTAATAGATAAAATGTAAACATTTCTTAAGATTGGTCTTCTTCCATGTCCTGCATATTGATGCCCCAGGGTTTTCTATAACCTCTGGTTTCTTCTCTCCTAAGACAAAGGTGATCTTCTAACAAGATACATGGTAGAACAAAAATGACACCTAAGATCTCAATATGTCACATGTCAGCCATGTCTTAGGAGGGACATTAGGGGAGTCTCTCAAACGAGTTCTGATGAAAGCAAAGGATAAAGATGAATTCAGTTTTGTTCTTACAGGGATGACTTCAGACCAGGGTTAAGTGGCCTTCCAAATGCTGTGGACTGCAGCTCCCATGAGCATTAGTCAGCATAGCATAGCCAGTGCTGTGGGATGGTGTGTGTTGTAGTCCAGAGTGTTTTTGCTTTAGTTCCATACTTCCATCTTCCTCTTTATTAGTATGCACATCAGCAACCAGACCTGAAACCTAAAAGGAACTGCTCTGAGAGCCTAAATTTCTAGTGTTGTCACATAGCCCCTGGTGAGTCCTTAAGGTGAAATGCTTGAAAGCTGGGACCATGTGTAAGGTCAAGTGGAAAACCCTAGAGAACATGCTCTGAGCCTTTGAGCCTAGCTTCTTTTTTAACATTATTGGAGGCAAAAAATGCCTTTTTGCTACACATTCTTTGTTCTATCTTAAGATTTTATTCTGCTTGTTTCTTTAGGGAAGTCATAGTGGGCCAGCTGTATCGGTATCAGGTACAAGCTGTGGCAGGAGCTACTGTAGGAGAAGCCTCCCCGCCTTTGCTCCATATCCATGGATCTCCCTATTGTGGGGATGGAAAAATAAACATGTGAGTAATGACTGGACTGACCTTGAAGGAGCTGGGGGTGGTGACAGCCGACAGGGAGCTCTGGCGCGGGCTGGTCCATGAGGTCACGAAGAGTCGGAGACGACTGAATGAATGAACAACAAAAAATGATGCCTTTGTTGTTGTTGCTGTTTTAAAAGGGATTGTTATGTTGTGTCAGTATCAGAGCTTGGGAAACATTGTATAAATATTGATCTCAGAATTCTCTGGGTATCATGACTTATGGTCACACTGCCTTAAGGCAACTGTAGTCTGAAGAAGAATCTTTGCCAAATTCTAGATGACAGTTTAACCATCCTATACATCATTTTAATACTTTCTTTCCACCTTATCACATGAACATCAGAAAAACTGTAATAATGTGCCCTTCTCTGCAGTTCTCCCTTGACTACTCAATGATCTGAGATATCCATAGAACGTCCTTAGTTTGTCTTGGATGTCTGGGTTTTTTTTTTTTTTGTAATTGCTAATACTAACTGATTGAGCTTTCAGAAATATCCAAATGCATATGGGACCAGCAGCTTTCAGTGAAATTTGCATTAGATGCCTTGTTGGTTTTTTTCAGTGAAATATGCCACCCAACAAACATCGCTATTCATTAAGTAGTCCCTTTTTCTGTATGTGGCTCATGCAAGAGTTTATATGTTTATTCATTGCTCCTTGAAATTAGATAGAAGATGAATGTAGTGTAATCTAGCTACACACGTGGAATTACAATAACTGGTATTGGAAATTGAACCTTCTAGATTATCATTGCAGCCTTACAAATAATTAATATTTATTTTATTAGAGAGAACTATAGAATCATAGAGTTGGAAGAGACCACAAGGGTCATTCAGTCCAACGCCCCTGCCATGCAGGAGAAACACAACCAAAGCACACTCAACAAATGTTCATCCAGCCTGTCCTTAAACATCTCAAGAAAACAAGATTCTATTTTGCTTCAAGTCTACATATTCCATTTCCAAACAGTTCTTACCACTGAGTAGGTGGAATCACTTCTTCTGTAAATTGAATCAATTACTACATGTCCAAACACCGCATTACTTAGAGCAATTTGCCTGTTGTACACTGCTTCCCCTCCATTTTCAGCACGAAGCCCATTAGGCGACGCACAGGCACTGGGCTCCGTTCTGAAAGAGGAGAGGAAGTAGGGCACGCTGCCACAGCAACAACACGGGTGCCTTCTGGGGGGGGGGGCATAGAGTGATGGCTGATCCATGCCCCCTACTGGGTGCCCATGAATTCGCCACAATTTGAGTGAATCTGGGGGCTTTTATGATGAGGCCGTTAGTCTTTAAAGCTGCACAAATAAGCTTGCCCCCTCCTCAATCCTTTCAAATATTTAAACATGGTTGTCATGTCCCCTCTTGGCCTTCTTTTCTCCACGCTAACATCACCCAGCTACCTAAGCCATTCCTCATAAGGCTTAATTTCCAGATCCTTTATCACTTTGGTTGGCTTTCTCTGGACAAGTTCCAGCTTGACAGTATCCTTGAATTTTGCCCAGAAGTTAAAACAGTATTCCAGATATTTTTGCACTAGTTCTTTATCTATTCTGTGCTGCATTTTCCCTACTGCTTCCTTTGCCGCATTATATTTATTTATTTATTTATTTATTTATTATTTAAACTTATATGCCGCCACTCCCCTGGGGCTCGGAGCGGCTTACAAGAATAGCTAAAATCTAACAAAGTTTAAAAGCAATTTAAAACAATTTAAAAACAACAGTATCAAACATTAAAAGCCTGTCGAAAAGGTATGTCTTACATGCCCTGCGGAAAGCTGGTAAGTCCCGCAAGGCACAGACTTCAGGTGGCAGAGTATTCCAGAGTGATGGTGCCACTGCTGTGAAGGCTCTGCGTCTGGTTGCTGTTAGACGCAAGGTCTTGACACTGGGGACTTCCAATAGATCTTGGTCCTCAGAACGGAGGGATCTCTGGGGTTGGTAGGGGGTGAGACGATCCCTCAGATACATTGGCCCCAGACCATGCAAGGCCTTAAAGGTGAGTACCATCACTTTGAAAGTGATCCGGTGCATTATCCCCAAGTTGAGTGAAGTTTGGGAGATATACTGAGGCAAAGAAAGTGTTGAGTGGTTCAGCCTTTTCTCTGTTTCTTGTTAAAACAGAGTGAAAGCTAGCTCCTGCTTTTGGATTCCCAATTTCTTGACTTTTGGAAACTCCTTGTTTGGAACTAATGCTGCCTGATAAGACTCACTTTGCTTTACAAGTTTCCTCAAATTATTGGGTAGTTCTAGAGCATAGGACCTTCCTTAACTCATTTTAACCATTGCAAAAGGTCATTGGGTTTTAAGATAATCAGGTAATGAAATAGTCCCATAATGAATTTTTCCAGTATTCTCATCTTCAACTGATCAGCATTCTCATGTTCTCTTTATTCCATCTCACACGGAGACCACTTTTGATGAGAGGAAAGTTAAGGAACTTTTCAGGAAACTCTCACCAGAAAATAGTAGCCATGGAGGCTGCCAGGTTTTGCTTCCCCAGACGAATGTTGAATTTTCTCTCTGAAGTGCTAAAATGCTATATATAAATTCTAAGAGTTGTTGGTGTTCTTTTTGTTCATGTTATCTCTCTAGGGCTCTTACAGAAGAATGTGATGACGGAGACCTGTTAGACGGTGATGGTTGTTCTAAAACTTGTAAAAAAGAGAAAGGATTCCATTGTGTTGGTGAGTCCAGAAAAGCTAGCACATGCTCTCTTTTTGAATGCCTGTTACTTATACTTGTTGTATTTGTGTATATATTTTTGAATGCAACATTTCAAACTTTGTAGAACTTTGCAATGAATATCACAAAAAACAAACAAACAGTGAAAGCGGGGGGGAAAAGTTGGATAATTGAGGGGTAGTACAGTAGAAGTGCTTCATTTGAACTGGAAATTAGTTTTAACCACTGTTAGTTTCTATGTTTAGATTTCACCTCTGAATCAGTATCGTTATGATGAAGTCAGTAGACGGCAATAGTAGCCAGCTTTTGCCCGCATATTAGTGGGATAATGAAGGTTGGACTAAAACCCAGAATAGATTAACTATTCCACTGATATGAAAATTAGTCACTGTCATTCCATGATAACAAATGAGATGGGACTGTGAACCATAGCACTATAGGAAGGAATATGATTTTCTCATATGACCTTCTCTTAATAAACAGAAAATCAGAAGATTGTATCAGTTTATTTAGTAAGTATTAAGAAATGTGATAGTATGATGTGGTGCAGACTGTACCATGGAAGATCAAATCAGCAGCAGCCCTAATAATAAATTAGTGCCATTCAGGATGCTGGGTAGGAGACCTTGGAGTGATAGATAGAAGGCCACAATCTTTTGACCACAATCTAATGTTATTTGGTCACATGTGTTCCAGTTTTCATCAGTGAACTATATATGATATGTTGATTCCAATTTGGATCCAAATGTTTTGAATGAAAATCGGTTTGCTGGTACAGGGTTTACAGTTTCATGTTTATTTTATTTTATTTTGCAGGTGAACCAAGTATGTGCTATGTCCATGAAGGGGATGGCATTTGTGAGCCATTTGAGAAAAACAGCAGTATTGTGGACTGTGGCCTCTATACCCCCCAAAACTACATAGACCAGTGGGCATCAGAGGCCTATGCATCTCACCAGGATGAGAAAGCATGCCCAGTTTCCTTGGTGATTGGAGAACCTCTTGTGAGGGTGAGGAGAGAGAGCTTGTCTGTGTGTAGGAACCTTCCTGTTCTTTCTACATGAGGAACATGCCCCAGATCTCTGTTATCTTCCCAGGTGTAGTCAACATGTCATCTTGCACTAAACAGTGATGAACTGAATTCTGCAGGAAACATTGGTGAGGAAATTTTACTTCCTCATGCATAACCATTATATCAATTTCATCCATGAAACATCATATTTTTTTTATTACATTTTTTTCTGTTATGCCTTTCTCCCCATAGGGACTCAAGGCGGCTAATATATAACACACCAAATGACAATTTAAAATAAAACAAATATGATTTTTTTTTTAAAAAAAACAATTAAACATTTATGGGTGGATACACAAGTTAACACACAGTTTAAATACAAGAAATGCCATTAAAATTACATTCAAAGACTACCTCCCCACACCACCCCATCCTACTCACAACCTCCCCAGCAGTGTGCCCCTCATCCTCCTCCGAATGCCTGGCAGCAAAGAAATATATTTACCTGCTTGCAGTAGGTAAGCAGGGATGGAGCCATCCTAGTCATTCCTGGGAGGATGTTCCACCAAAAAGACCCTCTCCCTTGTTCCCATCAAATGCATTCAGGTAGGTGATGGTACAGAGAGAAGGGCCTTCCAAATAATAATAAATTTTAACAGGTTGAAAGAGAGAGAGAGAGAGAGAGAGAGAGAGGGAGGGAGGGAGGGAGAGAGAGAGAGAGTCCTTCAAATAAGTTGGACCTGAGCCATATAAGGCTTTATAGGTTAAAACCAGCACTTTAAATTGTTTTTGGAAACAGGCTGGCTTTGTACTTCCTGAATATGAATGAATAAAGATTTCATCCCCATGGTATCATATGTGGTAAATTTCCTCAGCTTTTACTGTTACCTTGAAATGGAATGGAAGTGTCTTGAGTGGAGTATTTTTTGTTATTAGTGTTGCTCAGTTGCCCTTGTATCTTTGTAATTTTCTTCTCTCCACAATCCTTATATTTTCTCTTTCCTGCTCCATTTTCCATCTCCCAATGCAAATTCCATTCTCCCAGGTGTGCAATCCTCACCCACAAGACATTTTGGAAAACCAGCCTCCCATGGCTTGGTTCCCTTGTGTGAACCATGATGTTTTTCAAGATCCAGAGAAAGAAAAAATGCTTTCGGATGACAAAGTTTGGCTCAAAGTAAGTGATTTTGGTTCTTAGCAGGTTGAGAGGAAGGGGTAGATAGTATGTGCTGCTGCTGTTGTTGTTTGTCTTCAAGTGACTTATCATGGGATTTTCTTGGCAATATTTGTTCAGAGGGATTTTGCTTTTGCCTTCTCCTGATGCCTAGAGTGTGTAACTTGCACAGTGTCATCCCATGGGTCCTCATGGTGGAGTGTTTTTTTTTCTTTATTCGTGTCAAGAGTGACTTGAGAAACTGCAAAGATTCTGTGATTTGAGTCCTGATATCTAGTTGGATATCAAAGCTGAAACTTTGGCACCACCCTAGTTCTTGAGAGTATGCATATTTCTCAGAAATATAAATAAACACAGTTTGGTTCGAGTGATGTGCAATTTTTTCTTAGTCTTTTAAAAATTGTGCTCAGAATTCCTAGAGAATTTCTGGGCAACAAAAATTCTCAGAAATTGAATTTGGAATTTGGATGTAATAGCTTCAGCTCCACGTTCTTACATGTTTACTGTCTGCCACCATGGGGTTCCAACTAATAAATACATTATTAAAAATATTGGATTCTCATTAGGCTTTCCCAAAGTGAATTCTGTAATATTAACAGATGTTTTAAATCAGAACACTCAAATATCACCTCTGAATTTGCAGAAAATTCATCAAGAAACTTATGTGTGATACAGAGATAAACAGAAAAAGGTTGCATTTATTTGTGACATTTTTTTCAAAAGTGTTATTTCACAACACAAATTGCCAGGCTCTTTTAGTGATATACTAGAGTAATATTTATGGTCAAAAATAAAATATATAATTGGCATTCCCCCTAAGGAATTTCACATATGCCAGATAGCTTATGTTTTATGTCAGACTATCCCAAATTTAGTGAAAATCCATCTAACTGCTTCTGCATGATGCAGGAACAAATGGGTGAACAGACAAAAAACTATATGGAACTATATGATTAAATGGGGTTCTCATTCTCCATCAGGATATATAAATATGCTTAGTGGCAGATCAGACTCAGCTTGAGGAGTTAATTAGCCTTTCTGTCACTATTCTGAGAGGGAAGGCCAAGCAGAACTCTAAGGTGACTGGGCTTCCATGGCCCATACCCACTATAGACATAGAAATTCACATTGAACATTTTCTGCTCATGTAGCTCGTGTGTCTGTGGAATTCCACGCTGATATCTGGAATATAAGAATTAGAGGTGTACAATTCAGCCAAAAGGCATGCCATTTCGGGGTCCATTGTCAGCTGACCCCTCATTCTGTTTCCTGGGAAGTTATTTGAATTAGGAGGGGTGTTGCCATTTTTATTTGGCAAAGATTCGGCCCACTGGCTACAATGGGAAATTTTAAATGCTCAATCCTCAGTCATTTTAAGACCTATCTGCATGAAATCTTCCTCAGTTTTAGACCCCTTTACAACTGCATGCCTGCCAAGTTTCAGAACAATTCACCAATCTATTGATTTTTTAGATTTAATTAAATTTTTAACCATAAGAGGTTTTTTTAAAAAAAATAATAAGACAAACCACAAGAGAGGTTTCTGGGAATTGTAGTTGCTGCTTGTGTCCATTCTCAGCCAATGAGAGCATGGACACAACCAGGCTTTTTACTGGCTGAGAGAGAAAAACTTCAACTCCCATCATGCTCCAAGAGGAACTCAGAGACTTTTCAATACCCACCCTATGCAAGTGCTGATGGGAAAGTGAGTTTCCAGCAGGGAAGCAGGGCCCTCTCTGGAGGAGGAGCATAGGAAACTTTCCAAAGGAAAAAATGGAGGGACACTGTTCTTGCTAGGGAGGGAGAAAAGAAAAGACAAGGCAGATCCTTGCCTCAGGTATGCAGACTTAACTCCTTCTTTTCCAGGAACCAATAAAATCCAGCTCCCTTAATCCCTTTTGCCTGGCTTTGTGGCTTCCTCCTACCCATACTGTTTTTGGATATTATATAAAATAGACCACCAAATATTACAAATCATTTTCATTAAAACTGATGAAAAAACTGATTAAAACTGATTTGGGCCCAAGTCTAATAGCAATGACTCCAGCAATTAGTACATTCACATCCAGTCAAGCTGGAAGGATGTGAATGTGCACCCCAGGCTTGTTCGCTTTGGCAGGCCCATGAGCTGACAATATCAAAGTATATAGTGTTTTATTCACATTTTAGTGAAAGTTAGACCTTACATCTTTTTAGGTTTTTATTACTAATTTGCAGAAGTTTTATGTGTTTCAACTTTATGAATTTTAATTGACGTATTATGTAATTGTCTTGCTTGTTTTTAACTGATTTGGATGTTTTGTAAGAAAGAGCCATTGATAAAAGTGTTTATTAACAATCTCAGCCAGAATTCAATGCCTTACATTCCTGCATAATCATCCATAGAATATGCCCATAAACTTGGCATTGCTGATTCTGAGCAGCTTCTCTCTATAGCACTTAAGCAAATAAGTGAAGAATAGCCTTGACTAGAGAAATAACTAAGTGGCAAAGAAAATGTCTCTAGGCACAAACAAGATGTAGGTGGAATTAAAAATGAGGAAATGAAAGGGTCTGCTTGCTCTCACTTGAAGTGCTTTATTTATTGATGTGTTAGGAGGAGGAATAATTCTGCTATTCTGAAAATCACTATAGATAGTCCTTATCCTAAGCCTGGGAAGGACATACATACATTGTGTGGGTTAATAAGGGTATCAGGTTTCCTCCAATGATAATGATAATTAGGTTAAATCTTCACTTCACTTTGACCAGGATGTTTTTTCCTGAACAGATAGCTGTGAGAGTGTCACAGAAGGATTCTGAATATAAATCATAATTGCAAAGTCAGATATTGAGACCCCTAGTTAACATCACTAAAAGGGATTGATTGTTTGCAAGAGAACTTCATATTTATAGTCCCAGAAGGAAATATACACTGATTTTATAATTTCATTGAATGGCTTCATTGCAATCATATGTTTGATCTTATACAACAGAATAAAATTGAGGTGTTTCAAAGGCACCAAACAGGACTCCCCCTTTTCTTCCCTACTATAGGCAGTGACTCTAGAACCCCTGACTGAATGTTTCTGCTTTAAAATTAAAATAGCAAAGAAAAAAACAGGCAGCATCATTTTATCCACTTATTCAGTGACAAGATGACATTTTTCCTTTCAAAACAGAATGGAGGCTGGGAAAGTGATGAAAGAACTGTATGCTTATAAAGTGCTGGCTGAATTAAAAATAAATTTCCTAAAGTTGGAGATGTTAGGTGTGGAACTTCCTGTTGATGCTAGAAGAAATCTTGCAAATATTGTCCATGACATTCGCTTTACTAAAAACCTGGGCATCTGCCTTCCTAAAAATGTTTGACAGTACCTAACAAGCTTGACTACAATATGGCCCTTTTCCAATTTAAAGATGATTCATGAAGAGAATCCAAGTCGAATCTCTCTTGGCTGGGCAGCTTTGTGTCAATTGAATTTTCAACTATACCTATATTTTTCTCTCTGTTTAAAACTTTGCTACTCCAAATAACTCATTAAATTAAATGGCAAAAATATTTTACAGTTTTGTGGACAAACATAAAATATCCCAGATTGCCAAGGGTTTTCATATAAAAGGGCATTCTATAGCTGTAGACCAACTACAATGATACCCATATTTGACAGCTATTAGCTTTCATTGGGAAGAAGATATGAATCCATAGGTCACAGTAGAACTTCAAGGAGAATCTTTCACAAGAATTTTGTTTCAGCCACCAATGCTCAAAGAGTGTCAAAAATATGGAATCCACTCATTAGGCTTTCCCTACATGCAAAGAGTAGCTCTGTTGATCTTTCCTCTGAATCCACATCCATTCAGATAGAATTATTTATTTATTATTATTTAAAACTTTTATATCCCAGTCTTCTCAACCTCCGTAGAGGTACTCAGAATTGATCAGATTTTAAGATGAGGCATTTGTGGGGATTTACTATTCATCATATCTTTTTCACCAAAAGTGAAACAGTTTTAGGGGATCAGATTGAGCATTTCCAGTCTATTAGCGATAATTTTTGTTTTCCATATATGTTGGTAGATTTTGCCTATACTCTAAGTGGATTCTGCCTCTGCAATTTGAAACAGCTCTCTTGGTATGCTACCTGTTCTTCATGATTTATTTCTACTTAGTGCTCTGAGTGCAGCTCCCACTTCACTTTCTAAAATTATGAGTTCATCTTCAATTGATTCTTCCTTGAATAAATCTTCCTCTCATTTTATATACTTTTTTTAGTATCTTGTTTCTAGTGTCTTATTAAAAAAACACATATCACATATATAGACAGTTGCAATTATGCCTAGACATATTTTAAGTAATCCAGACACATAGTGAAAACTCAGCCAGACTGCTTACATTATTTGATAATTTTATGATGAAATGTGTAAGTAAAACAAAGGATCTAGTCATTGCCTTTTATAGTTTTTAAATGGGCCCTAACTACATTGTCATTGAAGAGAATGTATTGTGAGAAAATGACCCAGGATTATATGCCGTCTCAGACAAGGACTGGTTAGATGTAAACAGCTGAGGAAGTTTGTATCTGCTGTTAAAGGAAGCACTATTAAATTAATTTGGGAGTTGATGGTAGGCTTTATATTGGGATCCCTACAGTTGATGGTTGGAGAAACACGAAGGCACCAGGGATCATACTATTTTGAGTGATAGATGTGCCCGGTGGCAAGCAAGATTTCGAAGCTAAGACTGTAAATAAGAGATGTCACTGGGGAGACACATGTTTCCTCCTGAGCTAGCCCTGCTGAACTCAGATACCAATGCATAATTAGTGTGGCCATTCAATTTGCCACTTTTTATGATGCTTGGCACACATTTATTGTAGAAATATTTATTTAGATGACTCTTTGCCATACTGCTAGATTTTGAATTGTCAAAATGAGGTGTTGCCCTGTTGACTACTATAATTGTAAATGTAACAGTACACCTCCTGGAGGTAGCACTCAGAAAGTATTTGGAACCATGATAG